GTGACTCAGCAACTGCCATGCCAGTTACATTTCATATCTAAAAGGATGGCATGTGTTTGATTTTTTTTTTTAACCAAGGGATTTTCCCATTATTCTCCCTTCCATGGTAAACATTTTCCAATATATGTAGAGATCTTAGTATTTGATTTGTAGCAACGATCTTGTAAAGAAACCAGGGAAGGATGATCAGAGAAGTCATTAACCTGCCCAAAAGTACACAGCAAGACATCATGTCCAGGCTTTCTGATTTGCTGGTCTGGGCACAGGTTGAGCTGGCGTTTATAAGAAAAATTTCAGATGCTCTCACAGTGGCACCAACAGAAATAAGAATATCTTGAGGTGGGTACAGTGCCACAGTGTTGTTGTGAGAGCCTGTAAAGGAAAGACCCAGTGACCAGTGGGGTGAAGAGTGGTAATTTGGGAATATAAAACATACCAACTAATTTAAAATTTACCAGTGAGCAATACATGTAGATATGTCATTGCTGAGAAACAAATGCAATATCTTTCTCTGAAACAGGTATAGAAAGCTCATGTTGCCAAAAGATTATAACCTTAGGAGGTATGATTGGGTGTAGCATTAGGCACAAATTGTAATCAGGTCTTTTCACATTCTTGGTGACTGCTGATCCATCCACAGTCTATCTAGAGTGTCCTCTTTTGTTGGGTTCTTTTTGTGGAGACCCTTATTTCTACTTGAGGCTATTGCACCGAGTTTCTCCTCTCCTTAATGAATTCTTGGTAATGACAAAATGACAGCTGTTGATTAGAAATGGGGTGTGTTGCATATGTTATCGTTTACTCTTTACAATCGTAAGATGGAAAGTGAATTTTTATTTATAAATGAAGATATTAAAGATCAGAAAGAAAAATTTGCCTGGTTTCTTAGCCTGTAAGTGGTCAGGTGTTCTGCTTACATGTTACTGCATAACAAATTACCCAGAAGTTTAATGACTTATAGTACCATCTTTTTATTATAATCCATAATTTTGTAAGAAATTCCATATCTCTGGAATTTGGGAAGAGTTCAGCAGGGATGATTGATGATTGGGGATGGAGAATCTATTTCTAAGTTAACTCACCTACATGGCTGGCAACTGAGCTGTTACCCAAGGTCTCTTCTGGTGGGTTTTTGGGTTTCCCCCTTAGCTTGTGTGCTAGGTTCCAAGAGCACATGTTCCAAAAGACAAAAGAGGATGTCAATTACTTAAGGCCTGGTCCCAGAAATGGACATGATATCACTTTCACTATATTTTCTTGCCCATGAAGTCATGGAGCCCTTTTAGATTCAGAAAGGGAATATAGTGACACTCCTCTCATTGGGAGGAGTGTCAAAGAATTTGCAGCCATATTTCATCTACCATGCAGAGCAAAGATTTCAGGTCTTGGTTGCCACACCATATTGCATCTCAACTAATACCATCCCTGATGCATTTCTCAATTGCTGCATTTATCCTTTGTATTACAATGATTAACCTGTGAGCTCCCTGAGGGCAGGGTCATGGCTTATGCATCTTGGGTTAGACATAATATCTACTTGGTCATAGTTCATACTCCAAAAATGCTGAAGGGAGGGATGAAAGAGAGCTGAGCTTCAGTCCCAGCTCTGTTTCTCAGGAGCTCTGCGGGCCAGATCAGGACACTGAACAGCTCTGGACCTCGACACCCTCTCAATAACATGAAGGGATGGGATCAAATGGTCCCGAAAATCTCTTCCTTTTTCCTAGCACTAATATTGAAAGAGTCTGCTTGATTTGCTATGATAAAATGCTATAAACAGTGTGCCTTAAACAATAGACACTTATTCTCACAGTCGTGGAGACTGAGAAGTCTAAGACCAAGGTGTTCAATGGTTCTGGATGGGTGCCATCTTTCCAGCTTGCATATGGTCAACTTCTTGCTGTGGCAGTAGGGACAGGGAGAGATCTGGTGTCCCTTCCTCTTCTTATAAGGACGCTAATCCTATCATGGGAGCTTTAATCTCATGACCTCATCTAAACTTAATTACACCCCAAACCCCCATCTCCTAATGTCATCACGTTGAGGATCAAGGCATCAGTGTGAATTTTCGGGAGGCAAGCATTCAGTCCACAGCAGCCAGTCTACTAATATGCTCAAGCCAATTAGTTACAAAATAAAGAGAGCTCCAATAAAGATCTCAAAGAGAGAAGTTCAAGAATCAAGAAACCTGAGAATAAAAATAAAGAACAAGAGGAAATGGGATTGCTCTTTGAACAAGTGCAAATGACTCTGGAGAGAAGGAGCTCATGTATCAGACAATGCAAAAATTTTCAGAGATGAAATGATTAGATTATGAGAGGCATAACCTAATCAGTGGATTAGTTCACTGATATGTAATAAGTAGGTGGAACTGCGGTAGGCAGATAGGGTGTGGCTGGAGGAAGTAGGTCCCTGTGGATGTACCTTTGGAGTTTATGTTTTACTCTTGATGAGTGAAGCTAGATCCTTCCACCATGATGTTCTGCCTTACTTGGGCCCAGAGCCGTGGGGTCTATAGACCAGGGACAGAAAATTCTGAAACCAAGCACCCCAAATAAACTTTTCCTCCTCTAACCTGTTCTTGTCAGATATTTTTGGTCACAGCTACAGAAAAGATGACTAAAACAAGAAGGTGAGCATTAGCTTCAGATACAGATATTTAAATTATGATGATAATGCTTAGAATAGAAAGGAAAAAAGTGGAACCTTCATTTTATTTATTTATTTTTATGTGGTGCTGAGGATCGAACCCAGGGCCTTGCACATGCTAGGCGAGCACTCTACCACTGAGCCACAACCCCAGCCCAAGGAGGCCTTTTTTAAATAGTGAAAACATTGGATTGGGGACTATTTGGTTACAGGAGGTGAGAGAAAATATAATAAAGGGGACTCCATGTTTTGTATCTGGGTGACAGGGGATTGCACATTTATGTAACATTGGTAGAGATACCATGTAGGTATGTTTGGGCTCCTCTCAAAATCTCTCAATTCAGAATTTCTGGAGATGTAGCTTAGAACATCAATATATTTCAAAGTCTTCCAGATAATTTCATTATGCTATGAAATTACAGAAAACTGAGAACAAAAAGCTGACACCAATTAACTTAGGTTATGAGATGTGTAGTATGCAGAATAATGGTCTCCCAGAGGTCTAAAACCCAATCATCAGAACTGATCAATGGATTAGGTTTCATGTCAGAGGGGAATTAAAGTTTAAAATAATTTAAAAAATTATTTATAATAGCTGTATAATAGCTGCTGGGAATGTTTATAATCAAATGTCAGAAGAATAAAAACAATATTGTGTGATTGTCACTAAATTCCCCCAACAAAGTCAGAGGCAAGGATTTCTCAGGAGTTTTTCTCAGTAATGTTACTTGACTTGTGTGCACCTTCACAGATTTAAAGGCTGACAAAACACTTGTTTTACCTTGATGGTTTTAAATTACTTAAGTCAGCAAAGGAAGCAGATAGAATCTGCAGCTTCCACATAGTTCACCACCTGAATATAACCGGGAGCTTAATGTTCCTATCACTCTCCTTTAATCAGATCTGTAGACCCTGCTGACTTCTTTTCATTGAATTTCTCTGAATAAGGAATAATTTGATCATGAGGGACATAGTTACACACGCATGTGCGGAGATATAGTCAGAAACACAGACTCAGAGATGGCAAAGAAACTCCGTCTTCCCATGTATACATTTATTTTCATGAACAAGTATTTATTGTTATATGTTATATGTTGCCTGAACATTATGTCGTGTTAGGGATCCATCAATGAATGCAATAGGAAAGGTCTCAGCCTGGTGGAGAATAGAATTTATAGCAGAGTAGAAAATACAAATCTCAAAGTGTGGTACCTGGATCCTCACTATCAGCAAACTTTGGGAGGTTACTCCAGATGAAAATTCTCACACCTGGTAAGCCAGAGTATGAAGCATGGAATTCTGGGGAAGAGACATAGAAACCCATGTTTTAACAAGCCCTGTGAGTGATTCAGATACGTGCTTCAATGAGAACCAGAATCTCTCAACAGGATCATTTTTATATCAGATTGATGCTTCGACCTCACACCCAGAGATACTGATTTAATTGGACTGGGATAGAACCCAGGTATGAGCATTTTTAAAGCCCCACATGATTATGATATGATTTTAATGACAGCCAGGCTTAAGACCACTTATTCATGCTGACACTTGAAGCATAAGTTAGTCAGGCACTGGGGAGAGGGCAAGAAGGGTTGTTCAGGCAGATATGCAAAAAATCAAATGTAGGAGGGAGTTTGGTAAGGTTAATGAGTACACACAAAACTCCATGAGTTCAAATAGGTGCATAACTGCAAATTTAAGTATTTACCACAGTGCTTCTTAAACTTTAATGTACATAGACATGATATGAGGATCTCCTAGAAACACAGACTCTTATTTAGTAGGTTGGGGGTAGGGGACAGAATGGTTCTGCATTTCTAATGAGCTTGGTGATACTGATGTTACTGGTCTGCGGACCACACTTTGAGTAGCGAGGTTCTATTGCCTCAACCTTCCCTGGGCATAGGAGACAGTGGATAGGGACTGCAGGAGGATATATCTATGCATTAGCGCCAGGGCCAACATAAGGGCATCCAGTTGGAAAGAATGGCGGACATCCGTTGCTGATGGGCATATTTAGAGGGTAGGTAAAAAAGATGCAGCCTAGAACAACCTCCCCGCCTACACTTCTGATCATTACCCATCAAGGTCATACTGCTTTTAGCTCAGCAGTACCTCCCCCGCGCCCTCCCCGCGCCAATCTAGCTGAGTGCATCCCCGGTCAGGCCAGCAGACCAGCTCATTAAGTGACCGCTGGAGCTCTCTGTACCGTGCCAGCCAGCCAGGGAGGCGCTGGCCGAGGACAGGCGCTCTCCTGGGGCCTGTCTCCCTCTTCCCACCTTCCCTCGCTGGCAGCGTGGTGCCTGCGGCAGAACCTCCCTCTGCAGCAGCCCCTTGCACTTGGCTCTTACTTCTGGGCGCTGTCCGTGGTTGCAGCATCTTTCGGCTCGCCACGTCAGGAGGCCGCGGTGGGGCCCTGCGATTGGCCGAGGAACCCCTCGCCATTCCCCAGCACCCCCCCCCCGCCCGCCCCGGAGCACCGGCCCCTAGAGGCGCGTGCCAGCGAGCGTGCGGGGCGCGCCCTGGGGCTCCCGGGCGGCACACCCACTTTCCTTATTAGGACTGAGTCCGTAGCCCAGAGCTGGCGGAGGGGCTCGGGGGTGGGGCGGGGAGCCCTGGGACGAAATAGCTCAGGGTGCAACCACAACCTGAGCGGCCTCCGAGAATCCGGAGGTAGCAGCCCGTAGCTGCGCCCCGGTGGACCACTTTCTGGAGACCCAGCTCATGTACCCGAGACCGAGGTCTTCATCTGCGTCCCCCTCCACAGGGTACCTCTGGTTCAAATCCCCAGCAAAGACATGGAAGAATTTTTGCAACGCGCCAAATCTAAACTGGTAAGTCAAGGGAGCCAGATTGTGTGTGTGTGTGTGTGTGCGCGCGCGCTGATGGAAAGGAAAGGGTGTCGCAGCAGAGGAGGAAAAGACAACTTTGTCACTTAGTTGGCAGGGTGTTAGGGCTGTACTCCGCCTTCCCCCGCCCCCCGCCCCCAATCTCTGGAACGCTGGTTCTTAAAGTGATAAATCTGCCTCGACAGCCTTCCAACCACAGTCATATAAGTTATAGAACTGGCGGGGGTGTGTGTGACCCAGCTGAAGTGGGGGTCACATGTGTCCAGCTCTGGTACCTTTGGTCTGATGTTGGAAATTCAGCCAAAATCTGCAGTTTGCTCCTGAAGGATAGGGGATAAATGGGTGTGGTCCTCCTTGGAAAAAAAAAAAAAAAAGAACCCAGTCTTGTGCAGATGCAATATCTGTTGTTGAAAAACGAAGAACATAATTCCTGAGGACTGGTACTTCAGCTGGAAGTGGCAAAACCCTAGTGAGGAAGTCAGGAGATAATTAGGGAGGATTCTGCAAATGTTCAGTTTATCCTCAGAATAGTGCTTGCTCTGTGCAGCAATAAGGGATATCCTAGTGTATATCCTGTCCCTAATCTCTTTTCACATCTGTAAATTGGAGCCGAGGCAGAAAGGGGAGAGCCCCAACTGTTGCTGGCGATGTGAGGTTTGCAGACTATTGTTCTCCTGGGAGGAGACTAGCAGTTGGCCTGGTATGTTTTACTGTATTGCCAGCTAAACAATGACTGATAATTTCACTGTGTATGTTGACAATTGCTACACATTCTGGAACAACAGACTCTAATACTTTCCTAATTTCAAACTGTTTTGGTTCTTCAGCATAGCAGTCACAAACATAATAGAAATGTTTCTGTTTCACACTTAAAAAAAAAAAGCCTGTGCTTGTTTAGAAGCAATCTCTTTAATGAACAATGAGAGCACTTTTTATGGGCCTGGCATAGAAGGAAATGCATAATTTATGATGCCTTTAAACCATCATTGAAGCCAAAACGTAAACTCTGCGTGAAGGTGACGTCTTTCTCTCAAGGCAGGATATTTGGGAGTTTATTACTGAAACTCATTTACCTTGGCAAAACAAAGGGAGTGTGGGAAGGGAGGGCCTGAAGATACCCAAACCTCCATTCCCAGCAGAGAGGAAAGTAGGATCCTTATAGCGATCTAAACTGTAAGTATCTTTAAAAGAATCATTAGTGTTGATTAGTACTTTATAATTACTTTGATTTTCTACCTTAAGCTTCCCAGAGAGTTAAATGTTTGTGGCTGTTTCAGTATTGAGAAGCTTTGTGACCATTTCTGTGTTTATTGACCTCCATATAGTTTTACTAGAGCAGGTGAGCAAAAATACTTATTGCAGAAACTCAGTAACTATTTTGCATCTCTGATGGCATTGGTACATGCTCTGTTCTTTACCAAATAATGGGCAAGAAATATTAACAAATTTAAGTGAATTTTGGTAGGTATGAGTGTGTGTGTTTGTGTGTGTGTGTGTGTGTAGGATGGAAATGAATGGTGATCAAGGATAATGCAGAGCTTTGCACTGCACCTGTGCTCTATTCCCATCACGTTTACTTTATCAATATTTTAACAGTAAGCATGTGTTTATTGTGGGGGCTGCTGCAAGCAAGAGGTTTGTCTCATTTCTGAAGAGCAATTGCTGGGATGGAAATTTCCCTATATCAGAGTAATCAGTTGAAAGTAATGTGTAATTTATTTACCGAATCCCTTCATTAGACGAGCAATTGCTCTACATCATTTAAAAAAAAAAAAAAAAAAAAAAAAAAAGACAGGGAACAGAAGCTGTTGTTTGAAATTCTCTTACCAGTTTCCTGCATTGGCCAGAAGAACAATTAAGCTAATTTTATCTTTTCTTGGAATGGGTTCCTGGCCAGAAATTATATTCAGCCTTTGATGTTTTGCTACAGCAAAGATGTTTTGGTCATATTTAGTCTCACATTTTTCTTGACAAGTTACATTTTTTTTTATAAAAATAAACCTTTTAAATGAAAAGTTTTAAATAAATTTTTACCTAATGCTCAATATTCAAATGTAGTAGTGATAACACTCTAGAAGATCAATAACCTTTTCCTTGGAGAAAAAAGTTTAGTCCATAATTATATAATTCATTTGTGGAACTTTATTCATAGAAAAAATGGTAGGATTTTTAAAAATTTGGCTAATCCTTGGAAAAGCATTTTAAGGAGAAGAAATTTATTGTGATGGTTTTTACACTTAAGCCTTATTAGAACCAGAATTAGAATTTAGAAGTTATGTATAAGTTGTTTTCCAAAATTAATTAATTAACTTATTTGTTATACATGAAAACAGAATGCATTTCAATTCGTAGTACACATATGGAACACAATTTTTCATGACTCTGTGTCCATTAGAAGTTAATATAGATTTTTCTCTGTTACCTAAAAAATGCCTAATTGCCAGCACCCTATATTTACTTGTTGCTTTGATATTCTATAGAAATGATATATGTCTTTTAATGATTTGAAATAGAGATCCTTCTGAAGTCCTAATATAACCTCATGATCATCTGGGCTTCCTACTTTCAATAGACAAAGGGAACTATAAATTGAAATGAACTATAAAATGCAAAATTATATCTATTGTCCATAGATATAATTTCTAATAATCAAAATTTTGGAGAAACTGTGTTCCTTTTTTCTGATGAGACATTTGATATCCATCTGTCTCCACATGAAGAGAAGCTTTCTGTTCTTGGCCAAGCCCTTGGATTGAACAGAAATCTTTGATGAGAAGGGGTGTGTTTGAATTTTTATTAGGAAATGAGGGGTTAATTATTGTTAGAGTTGGGCAACCACTCTCTTAGTTCTGTTTTTTAGCCGAGTCTGGTTCTTAATTTGAGGCAGATTCAATGACATAATCCTGTCCTGTGCTTTTTTTCCCAAAATCTTCCCTTCCAAACTATATATGCTTCATGGGGAATGCTCAATATTTCTCAGAAGTGGCAGAAGTAAACCCTAAGTGTGGCCTAAGAGGGATCACCTCTGCCAGAGCTTGGATGCACCTCCAGCGGACCTGCTTCTGCCTGGTTAGGCAGGGGGTGGGTGGCTGGAGCCAATTCATGAAAACAAAACAAAAAATCTTTAGTTGAAGGTGGAGGGTAGTAGGGAAGGTAATTACTCTTTTCAAACACAGTATCCAGAAATGGCACCTTCTTGACAAATACAGAAAGACAGCTATGGAATTGACACACAATGACTGTTTGGGCAATAAAGAATAGAGCAAGCTGAGAACTCTGAGACGGGAATCACACGGTGATGCCTTTCAGCTGGGCTCACTCATCTGGTTATGAGAACCTGACTACTTTTCTGATCTGGATACTCATGGAAATGAGAGTGAAAACACATTTTCTTTTTCTCCTGCCAGTGCCCACCTGGTTTTTCCTGCACTGCTCATTCAGCATTGAAACAGGGGCAGAAATCAAATCATACAATTCCAGATCAATCTTTAAATATCAGCCTGGCTTTCCATTTTAGTTACACCATGGTAAGAGAAATTGAAGGGTTGGAGAGTGAGGAATTCCTGCCTTTGTCTCGGATTTGGAAAATGCCCTACAACTTCATAGCGTTCAGTTCAGAAAAGTGTTCAATTCAAGAATAAACTCATCGAAGTACATGGTTCAAGTTCTCTTGAACATTGGAGCAGGCTGGGAGGGGGAAGTGATGTAAATGAGAAATCATCTGGGGATGAATAGAGAGCCATGGGTAAACTGGTGGCTGAGTCTCCCTTAACACCCAGAAGCCACCACCTGATGCAATCCAAACAGCTGCTGAGGGTGGAGACCACTGGAGCCCACATACCTTCATGAGGCCTGCCTTGGAGGGGGCCTGTCAGCTGCTGCTGGAAGAATACAGCGGCATGCCAATGTCCCAGGAATGATTTTCAAAGAGAAAGTGAGGATAGAGTCACCACTGCAGGCCAGAGAATGCACCTGCCCTCAGCAGTGACAGCTGCAGATGAAGGGCTCATGTCTGCGTTGGGTGTTAGTCAGTACCAGACTTCTAGAGGAGAAAAATTCTGGATGACCTAAATGTTTTCTGTGCTCTGTGGTCTGTGGGATAGGGATGAGAAAGTGCATCTAAAACTTGAAATGTACAACTGTATTAATACGAGTGGACACAACATAGGGGGTTTTTATGTTGAAAAAAGAAAGGAAGAAAGAAAATACTGCAGCATGTCTGCAGAATAATCACCTTGATCAGAAATTAAAGGAAATTATTCTTCCTGCGTCCTATATGGGAAGAAAGTGCATGTCAATACAAGGATGTTTTAAAAGTATCTTTTAAAGGACCACTGTGGTAAAGACTAGTAATGAGGAGAAGCTGGAGAATGGTTTCATCTGGGTTGCTGCGCTCTCCATAGTGAACATGGGTCCAGCTCCAGCCCCATTGCAAGCGAGGGCAGGTACTCTTGAGTCAGTGCCTCATGCCAGATCATTATGAGCAGAAACCTTGGGAGTCCAAAGCATTTCTGTGAGTATGGTGCCACCTGACTTAGCTGGTGGGGAACGGACCCTTGACTGCTGTA